ACAAAAACACATATACCTTCTTATCTTGCAGAGTATTTTAAGACTCAAAATTTACTTGATTTTTGGTTTTGATAATTTCAGAAATGTAGTGGGTACTTGATTTACCTTAAAGTTTACCATAAAGTTTACAATATAGGAAATAAAAACAAGTGAAGTGTGGTTCATATTACCTGGACCAGGAAACAAATATTAAAAAAAGAGCAGGAGGCGAGGAATACATCACACATATCACCTATGTTGATAAATGCATATAGTTTCAGTTTGTCTATTAAGTGTAAATAAATGTCAGGTAAGATTTTAAAAACTAAAACCCAGTCATGTTATTATAAAAGAACACTGACACATGGTTACTGTAACTAATAGTGTGGTGATTCCTCAAAGACCTGAAAACAGAACTACCATTTGACCCAGCAATCCCATTACTGGGTATATACATAAAGAAATATAAATTGTTCTATCATAAAGACACATGCACACGTATGTTCATTGCAGCACTATTCACAATTGCAAAGAAATGGAATCAACTTAAACAGCCATCAATGATAGACTAGATAAAGAAAATGTGGTACATATACACCATGGAATACTATGCAGCCATGTCAAAGAATGAGATCATGCCTCTGCAGGAACATGGATAGATCTGGAGGCCATTATCTTTAGCAAAATAATGCAGGAACAGAAAACCAAATACTGCATGTTCTCCCTTCTAAATGAAGAGAGCTACACGATGAGAACACATGGACATACAGAGGGAAACAGCAGACACTGGGGCCTACCAGAGGGTGTAGGATAGGAGGAAGAAGTGGATCAGGAAGAGTAACTAATGGGTTCTGGGCTTAACACCCAGCTGATGAAATAATCCTTACAACAAACTCCCATGATACGAGTTTACCTATATAACAAACCTGCACATGTGTCTCTGAACTTAAAATATAAGTTAAATAATGAATTTAAAGTCAAGGCTAAAATAAAAAAATAAAAAATAATAAAAAAAAAAGGTTTACACTACCTGATTTCAAGACTTACTAGGAAAGCTATGTTAATGAAGACAATGTGATATTGGCAAAAGGACTGACAAACCAATGGAAAAGAACAGAGTGGTTAGAAATAGACTCATACATACACGGTAATTGATCTAGAAAAATGGAACTGGTGAAATTCAGTGAAAAAAGACAAGATCAATATTATAAGAAATATATACAGAATGTGAGATATAGTCACAGCCACAGAAAGTACAATCTGCCGCAGAAAAAAATAACTAAGTTGGTCTTCATTAAAATAAAAATATCTGACCTTCAAAGGACACCATTCTGAAATTGAAGAAAAAAATTATAGACTGAGGAAAACAATGTTTGCAATATATATATATCTGACAAAGGACTTGTATTCAGAATATATAACAAAATGCTACAACTCAGTAACAGTTAAAAATGGACAAAAGTCCAGAAATAGAGGAATGGGCACTTGTTTTTTAATGAGTGTGGAGCCTCAGTTTTGCAAGATGGAAAAGAGTCCTGGAATTTGGCTGAACAATTTGGATGTATGTGACACTACTGAACATTTAAAAATGGTTAGAATGTCACATTTTCTGTTATGTGCATTTAGCCACAAGTTTTAAAAAATCTTAAGTAGATCCTTCACAGAAGAAGAAGACCTAAGAATGATCAATCAACACACAAAAAGATGCTCAACATCATTACTGAGGGAAATGAAAATTACAGTTACAATGAGATAACATTTTTAAATGGTTAAAATTAAAAACCTGACAATATCAAGTTGGTGGGTTTGTGGAACAAGTGGAATTCTCAAAGATTGCTGGTGTGAGGACAAAATGATGCAGTCACTTTGGAGTGCTGGCAGTGTTGCTATTTATTTTTGTAAAAAACTTTGGCCAGGCACAGTGCCTCACGCCTATAATCCCAGTAGTTTGGGAGGCCAAGGTGGGTGAATCACCTGAGGTCAGGAGTTCTAGATCAGCCTGGCCAACGTGAAGAAACCGTCTCCACTAAAAATACAAAAATCAGCCAGACGTGGTGGCACATGCCTGTAATCCCAGCTATTTGGGAGGCTGAGGCAGGAGAATCACTTGAACCAGGGAGGCAGAGGTTGTAGTGATCTAAGATCCTGCCATTGCACTCCAGCCTGGGCGACAGAGCAAGACTCAATCTCAAAACAAAACAATTTTTAGTTTAGGGTTAGGGGGTATATGTGCAGGTTTGTTACAGAGGTAAATTGTGTATCATGGGGGTTTGGTGTTGATTATTTCATCACCCAGGTAGTAAGCCTAGTATCCAGGTAGTTTTTCAATCCTTACTCTCCTCCCACCACCACCCTCAGGTAGGCCCCCATGTCTGTTGTTCCTTTCTTTGTATCCATGTGTACTCAGTGTTCAGCTCTCATTTATAACTGAGAACATGTGGTATTTGGTTTTCTGCTTCTGTGTTACTTCACGTAGGATAATGGCCTCCAGCTCCATTCATGCTGCAGCAAAGGACATGATCTTGTTCTTTTTTTATGGCTGAGCCATATTCCACGGTGTATATGTACCACATTTTCTTTATCCAGTCTACAGTTGATGAGCTTTTAGGTTGACTCCATGTCTTTGCTGTTGTGAATGGTGAGACAATGAACATACACATGCATGTGTCTTTGCGGTTTCTTACACAGTTAAACACACACACTTCCTGTGTCCTTGCCATTCCACTCCTACCTGAGAGATATTAAAACATACTTTCACAAGAGATTTGTAAAAGAATGTTTATGGTTATAGCAGTTTTTTTTTTCCATAATAACCCTAACTGGAAAGAGCCCATTTGTCCAACAAGGGGAAAATGGATAAACAAATGGTGGTTTATTCATGCCATGGAATACTATCCAGCATTACAAAGGAATTTAAGAAGGAACAACTTCCATGGCTACATGCAATAACATGAGTAAATCTTAAAGCACTGTGCTGTGCAAAATGGGCCAGACATAAAAAAACTGTATGAGTCCACCTACATAAATTTAAGAACAGGCAAAACTAACCTGTAGTGATAGAAACCGGAAAAATGCTTATATGGTGTGAGGAAGGGGGCAATGTATTATCTGCAAAGGGACATGAAGGATCTTGCAGGGATGATGGAAATGCTCAATGCCTTGACTAACAAGATGTTTACAAAGCAAAACTCTTCAAATGGTACACTTAATATTTGTGCATTTAACCATATGTAAAATATACCCCAATAGTAAGACAATAGTAAACTTTCTTTCATAGCATTTATCCAAATTTGTAATTTAAAGTCTGATGTTCCCCTATTAATGCCTATCTTTTCCACACTGTAGGTCAGGCACTATTCTAAGCTCTGCAAGTAAAATGGGTTATAAGATGGACCAGTCCATCATCTGATGGAATTTACAGTTTCACGAAGAGCCATTTTTGTCTTGTTCACTATGCTACACTCAGCATGTAGCTTGGTGCTTGGTACGTATGTGTACTCAACAAATGTTTGTGAGGTGGATGAGTGACTAGAGAGAGGGAACCAGGGGACAGTGTTAGTGGATCTAAAACTCACACATTCACTTGCTTAATCTTTCTCTCCCCTTCCCCATCAGTTTTTCTTAAGTATTTGAAAATCTGTATTCACTCTGCTGAGTATCTCATGTGTCAATATACCATGTGGATATATAGATAGAGATTCATAAACTTTGAATCCAGGAAATAGGGGACGTGGACGGATTCTAGACCAGATGAAGCTCTATCCGCCTCCACGGGAAGGTGAACTGCTTGGCCACTTGAGGGCAGGGTCAAGATTGTTGTCAAGGAAAATACTGGATCTACTCATGTGCTTGAATTGGTATAATTTTGAGATTTAGAAGTCTGTTTCATAAAGCCTGGAAAATTCAGATTTGGACTGAAAATGTTACCAGTTAACGATCATAAAAAAGCTTGATTTCGAGTGGCACCATATTCTCCTGGATCCTCCAGTGTTTTATTTGCTTAACTGATTAAATTTCTAAAATGAGAATTACTCCAACTAAAACTGTAACCTGCAGATGAGAAGAGGAAAAACCAAGAGGGAAAAAAAGACACTATATATATTCCTACCTATGTGGATCAGTTTGGAAACATTTCAGAGAAATCAATTATTAAAATCCTCAGCAAGGTTACTATATAAACTTGGTTACAAACAGGAATTAATTTAATGTCATCTTGGAGTATACTTCTTGCAGCAATTTAAATTTAAAAACTGGTCTTAAGATTAGACAAATGTTGAAAAAAAAATTTCAGAAAGAAAATGATTTTAGATTATATGCCTTTCAAAGCAAAAAACAAAACAAAAAAAAAGAGCAAAAGAGCATGTATTTATGTATTTTATCTTTCTTAGGCCCTTCCCCACAAACCCGACTTTCCTCAGAGCACTTAGTATCATAGCAGGTGCTCAACAAAGTTTGTCTCATTTTGATTTATTTATTAGTTGAAATTTACTAGATATATTTCTACACTGGGCATCATTTACCTTAACACTTAGAACTCCCAGATGAAAACAGTAAGTCAAATAGGTTAAATAACAACATAATATAGAATTGGGCTGTATGTATTACACGACCTATAATGTGAAATCGAATGGCTTGGCACTTGAAACAGATTCTCCTGCCTTCTTTTTTCCTTTGGATGTGACTGGAAGCTTAGACTTTGAGCTGTGATATTTCCCAACATTACATACGTGGCCACAAATAGGCAGACTGACAGATTGAGTTCCCTCCTCTGAAATTGACCATAGTATAGCTCAACCATATTGTGCTGTAGCAATTTGTTTACACATTTACCTCTTACACTGGACTGAGCTCTTTGGGTTCAGGCACTTTGCCTTACACCCTCAGCATCTAGCAGTGACAGCCATATATTAAAGGCTCTAGCCTTTAATGACAGGGGCTCCGTAAACCTTAAATGAGAACAGAATGAAACAGACAGGTATATCCAAAAAGACAAATAGCATCTAGACATTACAAGCACTTACAATATAATTGAAGGATGTGTCAGCAAGCACTGCAAACTGACGAAACAGTGTGTGTCTTGTAAACATCTCATTCTTAAGGACATGAAAGCTGAAATGTAAAAAAAATTGATCAAAGTTAAATGTATGGAAATCATAGGATAAAGCAAGTAAGCATTATGTTAATGTAGCAAACTACATTAAAAATTTTAAATATTACCAAATAAAAATTTGAAAATATTAGTATGAACATACTCTCTCTTCCATTTTTAAAACTGCATGTTGCCTGGGCAATAGGTGAAATGTCATCTGTGCAAACAAACAAACAAACAAAATAACAGGGCATGGTGGTATATGCCTGTAGTTGCAGCAACTCAGAAGGCTGAGGTAGGAGGTTCACCTGAGCCTGGGAGGTCAAGGCTGCAATAAGCCATGATCACACCACTACACTCCAGCCTGGATGACAGAGTAAGACCCTGTCTCCCCAAAAAACAAAAACAAAACAATGGCAATGATCACCCCTAGTCCCCAGAGTGTGATTTCAAAAAGCATTTCTCATTAAATAATTCAGAGCATCTTTGAGAAAAGACTGTTTCTAGATCTAAGGCAATAAATGCACAGAATGAACCTGGGACATTTTATTCTACCAGAATTCAACAAAGTCATCAAAGATTATGTCAGAAGAACACAGTAATCAACTTGAAAGAGCTCCTGTTGACTTATGGTTGGAGAAATCACATATCAAAGATAATAAGATTGGAGAAATTATATATCAAAGATAGGAAGTACAGTGTGTTGAAACATCACATATATATTAGCTATTTGGGAAATTCTTAGCCTATCTTTGATTGCAAATGATGCTAAAATTAGGAGATTCGCTGTCAAGAAGATGTACTCTGTAGAGAAAGCAAGAGAATGGCTGGGCAACCTTTAGGTAGAGTCTAAAAACAAAATCACACTATTTACTCACACAAAAGCTCTTTGAAGAGATTAGATGTGTGACATTCCCTCAGCCATCTCAGTAGGAGTCCAAAATAGAGATGGAATTATTTAGGAAAGAACTGAGAAGGAGCCTCCTGTCTAATGAAGTGATTTCCCATGACAAACATGGGAGACCCACAAGGTTTTGAGAATGTTATATCAGCAACAACGCTGCCAGATTGAACTAAAAAGCATAGAGAAAGGAAATAAATGAAAGAAGGTTATTGACTTTCCAAAATTCTACAGGCAAGAAACAGGTTGATAAAACTACTCAGTGTCAAACATGTATTACCTTTCATGAAAGAGGAAGTATGACTCAGTAGCAGTGCTTTGGGCCCAGAGGGCGGAACCTTGAGTCACAGAGAATTAGCCCAGGAGCTTGAACCCAGGAGGTAGAGGTTACAGTGAGCTGAGATCATGCCACTGCACTCCAGCCTGGGCAACAAGAGTAAAAACTCTGTCTCAAAAAAAAAAAAAAAAAAAAAAAAAAAAAAAAAAAAAAAAAAGAAGAAGAAGAAGAAGAAGAAGTAAAACTGATACATTCTTGTAAATCATCATTGAAGAATAGGGTAAACCCCGTGGGGTCAGAGACAAGGTGAATCTTCAGGATGAAAGTGACCCTATGGAAATAAGTAAGGGAAAGTCATTTTATTCAGTTCTAGAGAGAATCCAAAACCTATATGCAGGGAAATGAAGTCAAGGGCCTATTTACATTTTGTTTCACATGTATCTACATTCTGTTCTTAAATAACCATGTGAGGCAGTTAGGGTGGGTGTTACTACGCACGTTTTACGCAGCACAAAATACTTATCAGCACATACATAAAACATGGGAAGGGGATCATTTCAGCACAAAACAGAATAAAGCAGAACATTTTACCGCAATGTCTTTTTACTCTCAATCTTGTTATTTTTTTCTGTCTTGGTGTGGATTCTTTGTGCCTCCTCGCTTAGGATTAATTATTTCCATGTAATACACATGGCCAGGTATAAAAGTTTATACACACAAGATCCATAGTGTGTGCTTATGAAATACAGTGCAAACATAGGGCACTGCCATCCCATGATCTATGCATAAGCTTCAAATTTGACCCCCACTGGCCTCCATCAGAGCAACATTGAACCCCATGTGCTTGGGTGATGCTTGACTGTGAAAGAATATTGTAAAAACACTTCTCTCACGTGTTAAGGAAGAGAATCTGGGGGAAATTATGGCAGAACACAACTAAACAGAAGATAGATTTTTAATGTTAGTATGTTAGAGTAAGGGAAAAAATAAGCATTTTTTTCAATTTACGTCATTTTTATCCTTTTCAGAATTTTATAATTTCACCTTCTACATTTTGAAAAAGGTGAAGAGAAGCCAGGCACAATGGTTCATACCTGTAATCCCAGCATTTTGGGAGGCCGAGGCGGGCGGATCACCTGAGGTCAGGAGTTTGAGACCAGCCTGGCCAACATGGAGGAACTTTGGCTCTATTAAAAATAGGAAAAATTTAGCCAGGTGTTGTGGTGGTCACCTGTAATCCCAGCTACTCGGGAGGTTGCAGCAAGAGAATCACTTGCGCCTGGGAGTTAGAGGTTGCAGTGAGCCAAGATCACATTATTGCATTCCAGCCTACGTGACAGAGCAGGACTCCATCTCAAAAAAGAAGAAGAAAGAAAAAAAAAAAGGAAAAGAAAAAGGCAAAGGGGGAAAGAAACAAAATGATTATATGCGTGAGAAATAGATCTGAGAGGCTGAGGAATTGGAGCTATTGTGTCTGGTAGGAATCTGATATATAAAGCAACTTTATATACCAAACTCTATATATGAAGTATATATATATAAAGACAATACAACTAGTTATATATCATTGTGTGCAAATGATCAGGAAAAGGTTTTAATAGCCCTAGGAAAGAAGATAACTAGAAAGGCCTGATGAAACCAGGTATTGAGAAAGTCTGTTTGTCCTGCTGATCTTTTATAACAGAAACAAAGAGAGGAAATGAAAACATTTTACTTCTCAGTGATTTTGATTGCTCTTCTATTTTAGACCAATTGTTTTGCATTTCTTGTAGACGTATACGAGGTGATTTAACATTAATATGTAAACAAATTGCAAGGTTCCCAACTTCCTTAAAGGATGATTAGTCACATTTTGAGAAATAGAATTTGTATATATCTCACCATACCTGTTCCTGAGAATAGAGAATCTCTTTTCCCAGTTTTTGTTTAGTCGATCAGCTTCCTTCCTAATCCTGTAATAAATTTACAGATGGTTAAATATTGTATTAGTTACAAATGAACACTATGTCTTGTTATTACCAGTACCTTTCCACCTTCTGTTTCTCTTCCTGTAAATTAGCCTTTAATGCTTCTATTTGAGACTCCAAAGCAGGTTTGTCTTCAGCCTTTCGATAGAAAATATATCACAAAGTTAATCACACAGACAATGTATCTTTTTTCTCCAGAAATCTGAAAAGACAATTTCTATAAATAGTATGCATATTCTAACTACTATCAAAAATAATTTAAGGCTGGACACGGCGGCTCACACCTGTTATCTCAGCACTTTAGAAAGCCGAGGTGAGAGGTTGGATGGAACCCAGGAGTTTCAGACCAGTCTGAGCAATATAGTGAGACACTGTCTCTACAATAAATTAAAAATTAGTAAGGCATGGTGGTGTGTGCCTGTAGTCCCAGCTACCTGAGAGGATGAGGAGGGAAAATTGCGTGAACTCAGGAGGTCAAAGCTGTAGTGAGCTATGACCGCATCATTGCTCTCCAGCCTGGATGACAGAATGAGACCCTGTCTCAAAAAAAATACTTTTTTTTCTAGAGAACAAGGAGTTTTATTTACTTGTAAATTACCATATATAGGAATGGCTTAAGATCCCATGCCTCTATTTCCTATAAATGGTAAACTTAGAAGCAATTAGCTCTAAACCATATTACAAAGCAATCAAAATCTATCTTCATCAGCTCCACAAGCTGCTTCATTTCATAAATTGCAAATTGCATTTTCCTTCACTTACTGTGGCCTCTCCATCTCTTTGTCATAGGCAGCAGCTTTCTTCAGTTATCATGTCCTTCTTCTATCAAAACAGTTCTCAAGAAAGGATCTTACCAACTCAATCACATTAGCGCTTTATGTCATTTATCAATAATATGTATATTTTGCAAGAGGAAAGAGTTTCAGCAAAAGGAATGAATCTCTAATAGCTGAACTGTAGGCATATCACGAATGAGGAAGACTTCCCTGGATGTGGCCGAGATGTGCTAGAAAATCATACTAAAGAGGCAATCAGGTCCTTTTTCTTTTAATAAGGCTAATTCTCAGTGTAGCTTCCAAAGTCAATGCTACTTTCTAAGCATAGCCATCATCAATATAAACAATAACTGGTTAGCAATAATGGTCATATTAGTCATTATTGTACCTTAGATTCAGGTATCTTCACCTTCTTTTCTTCTGCATGTGTCCCAATAGGTGCTGCATAGCTTACCTGGCAAGAAAATAAAACAAGGTAAATATATATTTTCAAATTAACGCATAACAGTGTGGCTTTTCTGCAACTTTGAGAAAGGAAACTGAGACTTACAATATGCCAACCACAGTCCCCTGGCAGTCTTCACTGTCTTATATAATTTAGATAATTCAGTGTTTATACATAGCATTTGCAACTGGACAGTGTCAGCCCATTGAAAACAATTCTCCTATTAATACCACCATTTTTAAAAAATGCATTTTATTATAGTCTCACTTCCATTGTATCTGTTTTGCTTTCAAAAAAATCCTATTAGGCATGAAGTCCTTGCCTAAGGGACGTGGATGAACCTGGAAACCATCATTCTCAGCAAACTGACACAAGAACAGAAAATGAAACACTGCATGTTCTCACTCACAGGCGGGTGTTCAACAATGAGAACATGTGGACACAGGGAGGGGAGCACTACACACTGAGGTCTGTGGGGGGAAATAGGGGAGGGACAGTAGGTGGTGGGGAGTTGGGGGGGATAATATGGGGAGAAATGCCAGATATAGGTGATGGGGATGGGGGCAGCAAACCACATTGCCATGTATGTACCTATGCAACAATCCTGCTTGTTCTTCACATGTACCCCAGAACCTAAAATGCAATAAAATATACATACTAAAAAATCCTATTAGAAAGGTATTAAATCTCTTGGATCTATCCTCCATGTTTTAACTTTTTTTGTTATTTCTGTCTGCCATTTTGCACTACGTTCTAGGAAATGTTCTTCACTTCATCTTCCAGATTATTAATTAAGTCTTCAGCTGTGTCAATTTCATTATTCAGCCTGCCTACTGCGTTTTTTCGAAGTTTTATTTGTTCCTTTCAGTAAATTCTTCTTTTGTTCAGACAGTTCCTTTTCAATAGCTGTCTGGCCTTGCTTAATGGAAAAAAGTTTCTCTCGAATGTCTCCCAAAATATTTTTTATTGATATAACATACTTTAAATTTTTGTCTGTTCCTTGAATTAACTGTTTCATGCAGGGCCAAGTGCTTTTCTGTTCTCTTTGTTCTTTCACTCTGTAAATATTTGCTAATTGCTTATTATATACCACAAATTGTTTAAGCACTGGAGACACAATAGAAAATAAAATTGAAGTAGAGAAGGCAGATTTGAGAGAAATTACAAAAGAAGTAAAATTTAGGGGACTTTTTGAATGAGGACAGAGCTGCCTGGAATTTCTTCTTTGGGCAACTAGATGGAGAACGACCCTATTCACCAAAAACAAATGATAAGAATAGGAACAATTTTGTGTGCTAGTCTTTTTTTGGTTTGTTTGTTTTGATAAATTCAGATTTACCAAAACACTTTGAGTCTTAGGTACCCATGGTCTGTTCAAATGAAGACACATAACAGGCAGCTGATATGGTTTGGCTCTGTGTCCCCACCCAAATGTCATCTTGCAGCTCCCATAATTCCCACGTGTTGTGGGAGGGAGCTGGAGAGAGATGATTGAATCATGGGGGTGTGTCTTTCCTGTGCCGTTCTCACGATAGTGAATGGGTCTCACGAAATCTGATGATTTTAAAAACCAGAGTTCATCGGCACAAGCTCTCTTTTGCCTGCTGCCATCCATGTAAGATGTGACTTGTTCCTCCTTGCCTTCTGCCATGACTGTGAGGCCTCCCCAGCCATGTGTCCATTAAACCTCTTCTTCCCAGTCTCAGGAATGCCTATCAGCAGTGTGAAAACAGACTAATACAGGAACTGAGACAGGGCCTGGAATTTGAGAGATGGGTTGGTCCTAGAGATATAATTTGGGATTCAGAAGTACATGGGTTGAAGCTAAATATCTGGATAAGGCCATTCATGAAACTAACAGAGAAAAGCAGGTGGTCAGGGATGGAAGCCCATACCCGAGACATGGTTGGCCTACCATTATTTTGTTTTTTTCTTCAACTTTTAAGTTCCAGGGTACATGTGCAGGATGTGCAGGTTTGATATGTAGGTAAACGTGTGCCATGGCCGTTTGCTGCACAGATCAACCCGTCACCTTGGTATTAAGCTCAGCATCCATTAGCTATTCTTTCTGATGCTCTCCCTCCTCCCATGCCTCCCTCCACAGGCTCTAGTTTTGTGTTGGTCCCTCCCCTGGTCCATGTATTATCATCATTCAGCTCCCACTTAAAAGTGAGAACATGTGGTGCTTGGTTTTCTCTTCCTGCATTAGTTTGCTGAGGACGGCAGCTTCCAGTTCCATCCATGTCCCTGCAAAGGACATGATCTCATTCCTTTCCATGGCTGCATAGTATTCTATGGTGTATATGTACCACATTATCTTTATCCAGTCTATCATTAATAGGCATTTGTGTTGATTCCATGTCTTCGTTATTGTGAATAGTGCCGCAATGAACATTTGTGCGCATGTATCTTTATAATAGAATTATTTATATTCTTTCGGGTATATACCCAGTAATGGGATTGATTGACCTACCATTCTGATTTACCGGATAGAAGAACCCTCAGGACTGACTTAGTCCATTTTTCTTACATTAGGTCTCTAAACTCTAACTCCTACTCCATCAGGACCCAAAACTCTGGAGAGTCCTTTGATGGTCCTGTAACTACCCAATGACTCTTCCCTTAGTTGTCTACACAGTACCTCACACTTCTTAGAAGAAATTTTCACCCACCACTACAAGCACAGTGAGTCTCCCTTATCAAGACCCATGTGACAGTAAACTAGCCAAAAAGAAAGCCAAAGAAACAATATCACCAATTTAACAAAAGCAACAAAAAGTCTTAGTCACCATTAATCTTCCTTGGCATCAACAAAGTGAGGGTCACCAAAATGACATGAAACGGACACTTTTTGGAATCCCTCCACCTATTTGTTCTCAAAGGGCACAATCCACTTGAACCATTTCTTTGCCCAAGGTACAAGGGGTACAGAGTGAGTTCACTGCCATTTCATTAACAGTAGTCTAAGGAAATCACCAGGGTAAGATCCCCAGGCCCAGGGTTGGGGAGAGCATTTACCATTATGCTAAAAAAAAAAAAAAAAAAAAAATTAACCCAAATTAAAAAAAAATTAATCCCCAGAAAATTAGGAAAACAAATCAGTAGAACAAAGTAAGTTTTCATGTAGAAAGATATTAATATATTTATTTCACTACATCCAAAGTCACATCAGTAATTGAATGTTTATTTTAAAAGCCTCTGTGTTTAAATTTATGGACAGTAAAAATTAGTTTCAATTTTTAAGGCTCCCTTCTCCCAGCTCTCATATAATGACCAAGTATGTAATACCTAGAGATAAGTCTGTGCTAACGTCTATCTTCTGTAAAGCAAATAATTATTCAATCTTTCCAAAAGACAACACTATTACGATGATGAAGATAACGTTTCTTTTCACTAAAAAAAGAGACAAAAGCATCACATGTAGACTAGAGTGTTTGCTCTCCAGTTCGAGTTGAACTTTCAACTTTGCTGCAACGTGGTCTATTGAATCCTGGCTCTGTCCACATTAAACTGTCATTCTGTTTTGCCAGCTGCTGGCATTCCACTTTCTCTGGAATACACACGCTGGTCTTTATGTGGTCACTTCATTGACAGGTGCAAATACTGGACTGATAGTAGATCGAGGTGAAAATGAATGTTAATATTAATACAAAGTAATTAACTTCCTAAGTGGGGAAACACAAACACAAACTAAATAACTGTAAAGATAATAACATATTGTGATTTAAATAAACATGTATATATTTACAAGATGGAGTTTCCCTCTTGTTGCCCAGGCTGGAGTGCAATGGTGCAATCGTGGCTCACTGCAACCTCCACCTCCCAGGTTCAAGCGACTCTCCTGCCTCAGCCTCCCGAATAGCTGGAATTACAAGTGCCTACCACCACACCTTGTTAAGCTTTTGTATTTTTAGTAG